ACTTATATGCAAATTATAGTAACCAAATTCAAATTATCTTAAGCAGAAATGAGATTTTCTTGGCACACATAAAACGGAAAGATATTGGAGTAGTTTATAGAATTAAGAAGTGTGGGAACCAAGGCCATGAGGACATGCTTACTGGGGGCACTATGTCCTCTCTGCTGTACTCACCTGCTTGCCATCACCCTCTTCCCCTCTCTGTACTCCTCACCATTGACCATTCTCTGTCCAACAGTTCTTTTCATGTGGCAGGAATTATTGCTGCCAGTAGTTCCAAATACATTCCCCCAGCCTACAAACCTAGCAGAAAATATGTCCTCATTTAATGTTCAGTTGTGCTTTTGACCTTTTTTGGATCACTTGCCCATTCCTTGGATGGGTTGCCATGATTCACCACGCCTGCATTATTAGCCCATCCTTGGTTGTGATGGTAGGGCAGGACATTGTGACCAATGGTATTAACAGTCCCCCTAAAATGAAGTGAAATGGGGAGGAAGTTTCCCTTGAAGGCCTGGTTGCTGGGCAGGCAGAGATGTCCCTACACATCTAGCAGGAGCTTTCAAGTTTTGAGCAGAATTGACTGCATGTTGAAATTAATGTTTGAAGAAGACTAAGGTGGCAATGGTATATAGATAGGGTGACCATATAATTTATCATCCAAACTAGGACACTTTTGAAAGTGAAAGAGGCTACTATTAATGGGATACATGTTTACCTTGTTTGGAGAGTTTAGCAAGTGGAGGCAGAGGGTGCCTGGGAATTATCGCACTAACCTCTTTCCTGGTGTGAGAAACATCCAACAGTAGTTTATAGTTGTAAAATAATACATGGCCTTACAATCGTCATCAACTACTTGCTGCAAGAAAATAACTTCTTGGATCCAGGGCCAAAGCTCATGAAAAGGTCAATATTCACAAAAAGACTAAATCTACACTGGAAGGAACCATTTGCTCCTTGATAGTTGGTTCACTGGAGAATAATCTTGGGGTGGTGAATCACTGGTATCACTTGTGAGGTTTCATAGTAGAATGGTTAACAAAAGTCCTCGAAGTCAAGAACCTGACACAGTTTAAAGTCTTGACTTTGCCATTTGGCAACTGTGACCTTGAGCAAGTTACTTAACCTCTCTAAACCTCAGTGAAATGGAAATTATAACATTTCACATGATTGTGTTTAGATTTATGGTATATATAACATTACTATATGCTTAATAACACTGAAATGTTATCTGCCAATACTACCAAAAAGGGAATAAAATGTAGGAGAAAAGAGAAAGCTATGGATTTTGGGGTTTTTTTTTCAGCTGAAGGACCTCCTAGTAAACATTATTTATAATGTAGGTTCTTTCATCCATCTTTACTTACTCACATAACCTGCTCTTCTGATCTGCCAATTACTCCCCTCAGACTCCCCACAAATACTAAAACTCTATATTTTGTGGCAAGGAAGGAGCAGCTGAATGTCTCCCATGGTTTAAGAATGTCTTTGGATTTATCACTTGTGTCACCAGGGCCTTTCAAAAATGATTTCACAATTTGTAGAGGGAAATGTCTGGTTCTCAGGACTTTAGCCAGTATGTAGTGAAAAGGAACGGCAATACATAGATATCGTCCCAGATACAACTCAGAAAATAAAGGTAATTGGGAATTAGGGTCATAAATAGAGGGAACAACAGGGTCAAGGAACGCTATCAGTGTGTTTGTAGGCATGCGGAAGAGAGAGAAGGAGCTGGGGATGGGGGCTTGAGAGAAGGGCTAGAGTCTAGGGAAAGATTAGAGAAGACAGAATTGAGACAGGGAGGAATTACCAGAAGTTGGGTTTAATAGAGTGAAGAGTAGATAATAGCATTCAGATTTCTCAAAGAAGATGGTAGCTAATCTTTGGACAGTAAGGACTGGAAGCCAGTGCAAGGAGAAGCAGAATCATTACTCCACTGTGACTCATGCTGGCCTTGGATCTCACTGCCTGAGCAGATGAGGACATGGGCAAAGATGCCTCACTGTAAAACAGTCCTCCTATCAGCATGGTTTGGTATCTCTCTCGGTCTGCCTAAATTTACCAGTGTCTTTACTGAACCCAGAAAACACACTAGGACAATTTCTAGCTATAGAAACAAGTAGAACTGAGCAGAGGCTGACCTAACAGGCACACCTGGGCAGCTTGGCCTGTGAGGGGACCAATATATTCATGTGTCCAAATGAGTCAAACTCATGTATTCTGCATCTGAAAGGTTACAGACCAACTTGAAGTTTTTATGGTGTCCCTTCTTTAGTCTTAACTTTATAAATTCAACACTAAATTTATAACATTGAAGTATACATAATTATGTCATGACATGTCGGGTTCATTCTTTCTACAAATATTCAGGTCCTAGTTGTATACTATGAAGTTACCTTATTACTTTATAGCCTTATTTTTAAAGGCCCTTCGAAAACAAGCATTTTTTTTTCTTTGAAAAAATAAGGAGGAACAGGGGCTCTGCAGAGTAAAATAGCTCTTTTCTAGTTGTATAATGGAAAACTTCCACATTTGCAAGATAATGCTGTAGCTGAGAATCCGTATTTTCTTTTAATGCTGACATTAAAAAGAAATAGGAAATTTAAGGTTAACGTGGTTCTGCTGTTAGAAATCTCTTCTTATGAAAAACATAAGGCACATTAAACTTACTACAAACTTTCAATGGCTCATAACTAACGTTGGTTTTAGCTTCAAGATTAAAAGTGGTTTTTCTACTATTAGCAAGCAAATGCATGTGTCTAACTTTACTCTGTTAAAAAAATGACATACTCTCAATATTTTGTGGTGGGAGGAGAGATTTTTTTTAAATTGATTTATTTATGTAGACAAAAATGGAACCTATTTTCTGTGTCAATAGCTATTCCTAAGGTAAAAGAGTTATTTTTATTTTGTGTTATTTTGGAAATGTTTGGAGACATTTGAAAGTTCAACTCACAGCAGTTTGAATGTATTAATTAACAGGAAGTCTAAAGGTAGAGGATTGAGAACAGGCAGGTATAGGGACACAAAATATCATTACAAACCCAGATTCTTTCCATCTTTCTATCATTCTGTTCTATCATTCTTGTTAGTTGAATTTTTAATCCTCACCTTTGTTTCCTTATACCTGTAGGATGGCTGCTGCTGCTCCAAACATCAAATCAATGCTCAGAAAGTAGAGGGAAAGGATTTGTTATCAAGTTCTGCTCTTGCATCTGTCTCTCTTTTAAAGACACAAAGATTTCCACAGAAATCCTCCCAACAGGCCTCTGTTATGTCCCTTTGTCCAAAACAGTCTCAAAAAAAATTTTTTTAAGTTTGATTTTAGTATAGGAATACCTTAGAGATATTACAGATTCAATTGCAGACCATCACAATAAAATGAATGTCATGATGAAGTGAGTCATAATCTTTTTGCTGGTGGAAGGTCTTGCCTTTAATTTGGAAAAAACAAACAAACTAAAAACCCCAATATCTATGAAGTGCAATAAAGCAAAACACAATAAAACATAAAACAAGATATGCCTGTAATTCATTCTAGATACAAAGTAGTACAAGGGACTGGCCACACTTTCCTACTTCCCTGGGCTCAGAGTAAGAAGGAGGAAAAGGCAGACACATAGACATTATAATTGGGGGTCAATGCTCAAGAGTCATATAAACACAGTTAGCTGCTGGACTCTCAATTTCCAAGAACATTGGAAAGTTCTGACTGGCTTCCACCCCTCCCCAAAACCAACTCTTCACAATGGTCACCACCCCAGTTCCTTCTTTTCCTGAGGTAGAGAATGCCTACTCCCACACTGAACCAAATCACGGTCATCTCATTTCCCTGTTCCGGATCCTGTCTCAGTTCTCCTTTATACTAGAGGTGGTCACGTCCTGCACAGGGCTGGGCCGAGACAGAGTCCTGTTAGTAAGGAAGGAGGAAGATGGTAGCTATGTCTGTCACAGTGTCCTTTCACATTTTATCCATTTCACACCATTAAGTTTGCATTTAAATTGTTTCCTGACACATTTACTTAGTTGATGGTTACAGGTTAGCTCCTCTTATTCATCTACTATAATCTCACTGGTTTGATCTTTCTAAAACACAAATCCGACTTCATCATTAGTTTCCTATTTTCTCAGTGTGGCTTGCAGAAGAGGTCC